GGCAGGGCAGATACCTGGGGGTGAGCAGTTGCAGCGCGTCGTCGTCCATCCACTCGGCGATGCGCAGGAGGTCAGCGGGCGGCGCGGGAGCTGGGTACACGCGCTCCTCAAGCACCGTCTGCTCCGGGTGGCAGAAGGCCGTCGACAGGTGCACGAACGCCTGCGCACCCAAACAACACACTTAGATGTAGAGGACGGAAAAATCTGTAGTATAAAACGTCAAAATAGTACATAAATATGTAATGAAAACAGTAAAAATGTGTAACAAATACGTAAATTCGGATATTATATGTAATATTAAAATACTCAATTTCATAACAATTTTTTAAAATAATACAAACGTTTAAAGAACCATTTGGAGAGCACAAGTTGATGCACACTTTTCCCCATACAACGTTTCCGTCAGTACAAAAACTTCATCTATTGTTGGATTTACAGGCTTCCGAGGTCGGAGTTATTTGATTCGTGGCTGTCAGAGTGTAGCTCTGAAGAAGGTCACAACACGACAGCCGAAACGTTACTCGTAGCTCGATCGACTGAGTGGGTCATCCCGAACGACCAAGAACCAAATTCATCTATTGTTATCCAGGACCGTAATTCAACTGCCAGACCATCGTACAAGTGGGTTTATCTACGATCATCAAACAATCACTCCAGCAACATTCTGGTCGAAATGTCGGCGATTGACATTTTGTTCGGAAATTAAGGTTAAAGGTCACGACACTGCGACACTGTTAGTTTTCTCACCTAGATTTCAACAATAATGTAGGGGAAAATGCCGATTTTTTTAAATTACTTCTTTTCATAAAAGAATATGTAATAAAATTGAAGAAAATTGATAGAATGAAAAATATTTTGTGATATAACAAAATATGTAAAATAATACTAAAAATGTAAAAATATGTAACGAAAAAATTGGACATTGTATTAGCAGAGAGACAATTCGCCAGTATTTCAATTTTGAGAACAGTAAGTAGAAAGACAAAAAATATGTAATTACTTAAATCCGGTCTCTATTACAGGCTCAGTAAAACCTGTCAGTTTCCTTCCTTGGCAGGTTCCCGTCTTACTAAGGATTGTCAAAAACTTACCATATTAATTAAGATCAGTATTTTCGATGTATTTTTGTTAGTGACATAAAATAAAGAAAATAAAGCATGATCGATCAATGAAAATATTGCAAGAAATACAAAAATCAACACCGGAACAGGGAGACAATTTAGGATAAGCATTTATTTCTCCTTTTTATCTGTCAAAAAGGAGTAGAAGTTCCCCTAACGCAAGGCTACATAAATATACAAATAAAAACAAAACGAAAGATTACAGAATGAAATGGATTTGTCATGTTAAAGAGAATATAGCAAAGGTTCTATTTTGTTAAAAGTCAAAAAAGGAATTTTTTGCCATTTCTCTTACTTTTTATACATCTTCTGGAAGGAACGCATTGTTGGAGCTTCCAGCAAAAGAAGTCCTCGATGCGGAAAAAAAGCTCAGAAAACCGGGAATGTACTTTTACCCGCCAGACGCTGGCGGTGAATATCAGCACA